AAAACATTCAGCTTTGATATTAATGAGTTTTTTGGGTTCATTGAGAACATGGTTGTTGTTCAATAATAAAATTATTCCTCAAAAATACAACTTGCCTAAAAATTCTGCACTCCCTGTATGCTTTGTGTGAAGCTGCTTCATTAGCAAAAGAAAATATTTTTACTTTTTGTTTTAATGAATACTTAAAAAAACAGACAAACAAACAAACTTAGCTTTAACCAGTTCAAAATGTAGAAATGTATTCCTTTAAGGTCATTTCAATGTTTTGAATGTATTTGTCCACTAGATGGAGCCAAAATACTTCAAACCCATGTTGTCACCATTTGAGTGAAAAGAAATGGTGGCTTGTTTGACCTCTGGAATCAGTTGTTTCGTTATTAAAATCATCTCACACGTAAATTAAACATCTCTATCCATTAAAAAAAAAAAAAAAAACTGACTCCACGCCTGCCTCCAAAAAGTTTTCGAATATGTCAAATGTTCACCAATATATATATATATATATGTGTGTGTGTGTGTGTGTGTGTGTGTGTGTGTGTATATATATATATATATATATATATATAGAAAGCAAACAACCATGCGAGGTGTACCAAATGAAGTGGTCAGTGTATATGCTGCATTTATGAATAGGTACCAGTAGAAAGGTAGGGATGTGACCGGATGCAACGTTGCGCCAACATACACTACCGTAAAATGTAACGTATGTGAGGAAGAACGCTAGGCTTTGGCGACCTCTTGAGGCAAAAAAAAGCACTCGAAAGAACTTGTATTGACTCGTACTATACCTATGCGTGCTGGGACGCCGCTCATCTGTCTGGAGGTTAACTCGAGTGATTTGAGGTTCTGGCGCAATGGCAGGTAAGGCGATTTGTCATCTAAAGCAAGTTGTAGCTACTCAAATCTGAACACATGAACACATAAGTGAAGTTTTAAATCACACGCAATTAATACAAACAAGCAGCACGGGTTGAGGAAGTTGGAGAATGGCTATAGCGATAAACACGGATCTGACTGCTAATTGAAAACTTCATTTTTTTTCTCTCTTTTTTCTTCTCTCTCTCTTAGTCATTAATTATTCGTTGCCAGAGCTCAGGATGAAATCAAACTTGACCTGGTAGTAAGGCAAACCACCGGTTAAAAGCTCTGCTGTCATTTTTTGCCACAGCTGCAGAGTGAAAAGCAAAGGAGATCCTCCTCCGATCTAAATCCCGTTTAGTATCCGCAGAGATTGTGTTTTCATAAAACGCATTGGCCCAAGTGATGCCCTTAGAGGAAATGACGTGATACTGTTAATTGTTCTGCTTTTTATTTTATTTGTATTCTTTTCCCTCCTTTTTTCAGCGCGAAATCGTTTGTAGTTTCACTTTTGTACTGCCCACCCACTTTTTTTAATAATCGGTTTACATATCCACACAGCGCGGGATGAAGATCACTGGCCAGAATATATCAACACAGATTTTAAAAGTTACATTTAGTTATAAATTAGCTGCATTTATCTCGAAAAGGAAATATTTTTAGAAATATCTTGTGTTTTCAGATGGGAAGCACGCCACTGGAGTGCTTTTAATATGCAGCACTAAAGTATTAATTAAATCTCAAATCAGGTACACCTGTAAAATCTAATGCAAACCAAACAGAGCTTTATAAAGAGATCACTGCTCAAACTTGCAGTTTTCCAATAAATTCAAACAAACACTGGTCAGACAGCTGAGAACTGAGCTTTCTAAATCACAGATCTGTTTCAATCTGTGTACAAGCGTGTTGACTAATTTTTTACCACTTGAAGTCACCTTAAGAAGTCAAAATGAGAGCAAATTATTCAAGTTGTTACGTGAGTTTGTGTTGAATCATCTTAAACCTGGTAAATGGGATTTTCTTTCTCCTAGAAAGCGCAAGCTCGATGCTTTTGCGGGTGAGGGGTAAGTTTGTTGAAAAGACCTCCAACCCTCTTCTTGACCAGCTCCTGGATGACATTTTGGAGGATGGCATCTTGAATGATGGAGAGAGAGAGTCAATAGTTGAGGAAAACAAGAACCGAGCCGACAAGGCGCGCTGCCTCATTGACACTGTGAGGAAAAAAGGAGATCTAGCCAGCAACAAGTTAATTCGTCACCTTCAAAAAAGAGATCCTATGCTTTTCGCTGAGCTGGGTCTGACTGTCTGACCAGGTGAGATGGGATACATCAGTGGAGCTTATCAACACATATGAGCAAAAGGAGGCTTTAACCCTGATTTTATAGAGTCACAAACTGATGTTGTACTTTGACACTGAAATACAGAAATAAGATCTATCAGGCTTTGACTTTGGTTGATGCCACTTAGGTTATGTTTAATCTCTACGCATTGTTGTTTGGCACCATGTTTGTTTGTTTTTACCGTTACCTGATTTTTGGTATTTATGTTTTTATCCACAGGAGGAAACGAAAACCTCGTGAACACTCATCCCTACTGCCGAGACTTTGTGAAATAAAGAGATGTGGAGTGAACATGCTCATCTTTCATCATCATTACTTTTCAAAGCAATAATATCAACATGAATGATCACATCTAAAGATACAATACTGTATCTTAATTCTTTTTTTACACTCTAGAGCACTATTATATGATGCTTATATTTTGCCAACGTGACAATCAGAAAAACAATCTATTTGTGCTCTCAAATGTACATGAACATAAAACTGTAATGTTTCCAGGTTCCTCTGTACATTATTTTTTTGCATGTGATGGATGAGAATTACAATCTGTTTACGTTAAGATCATTTTATAATCTAGTTGAATTAAATCTCAACGACAGTAAATGAGCTTGTGTGTTTATTATATAGTATGATTCATTTGCATGTACAATGACATGTGGACCTTCATAGCGCATGACGGTTTTTTGTTTATGTTTTTTGTTTGTTCGTTTTTTTTGTTTGTTATGGCTCCCAAGTGAATGGTTAGCATGGGTGCCACGGTGTTTTATAATGTTACAGTATAGTTTTAGCCATTATAAGTTACAGTTTAATGATCCGGGTTACTCACATCAAAGTAGGAGCACCACAGGCCTGCTCTGACTTTTAAACAGAAATTTATGCACTGTGCGGTACTACTATAGGTCATATGCGGAAAGGAGGAGCCTTATATCGTTCATCTCTGATAGCAAACATTACGCAAGCATAATCAGGTTAAAGTCAGCAGCAATTTAAGCAGGTTGGCCACACAAGTTTTGAGCAATGGCAGGTAAGAGCCCACGGACTAAATGCATTTTGTTCTACGTTGTCATATATGAGTTTAGCCAGCGAGCAGGAATGCAGTACAATAGGCATAAAGTGTTTACCACCACTGGATTGCGTTACGAACGTTTTGCGGAAGACAGCGGCGGAAAATATGTATTCTTACACTTTCGACAGTTTTGCAACAAAAGTGTTTGTCAGAGAAAAGTTTGAATAGTGTGATTCGATATTTGTTATTTTCATACTATGTTTATGCCAGGTTGGATCCATACTTTCGTTTTGCACCCCGGAAAACTATTCCCGCCCGGATGTCTGTTGTTGAAAAAATCTTCTAGTGGAAGGTTTTCAGAGATGAGAGAGCGAGTTTAAGTTTCTTTGTTGACAACTATTTGCGTTATGTATACACACTGAATCCACGGAGGCTGTTCTTCAAGTACAACTTCTAAAGATGGGAGGTCACACATTTCCAAAGTGCGACAGGATAGCATATAAAGTTTGTTTTGTTTTGTTTGTTCTTTATTAAAATATCCAAATTTGTATGTTGACGACAGGCATCGGTAATGGTTTCGTTATGCACTAAAACAGTAGCTTCGTTTTTACTCCGCACTTTATGAGGAAGAAGGACATATCAGCCATTTCCTCCGTCAATCCGAAGAATACCGGGCGTTATAACAAGGCAGGATGTCCTACGTAGTGCGCAAACATTCACTCTTTGTACGGAACCAGCGTTAGAAATGCTGAAGTGATTCATGCACATGAAATGTTGTAGATTAGCGCTAATATCTCAGGGGATCATTCTGTAAATGTGGGTCTTTCACCGTTAACTGCATTAAGATGCCGGATTATTAGATACAACTAATATATTTTACTTTGTTACAAAGCAATAAATCTGTACATAGATCGCAATGTTTGCTTTTAATTAAAAAAAGACTATTCAACTTTTAGAGTCATTGTGAAAACCGCAGTTTGTAGTGATGCTGACATGTGTTATGCGTTACTGCTCCCCACCACAAAGTGAAGCGTCCAAAGACGATAATACAGCTGAAAAGGCTCAAACCGAGCAACCCCCCCCCCCCCCCCAACGTATTCGATATATTAAATAAAAACAGCAAAATGTATACATCGCCCATTTAGTTTGAGACGAAAAGTTTTCAAAGGTCAGCAATCTTTCTAAACATTTCTAAAATGACATATTCTCTATTCTAGATAAGGAGCTTGGCAGGGTGCGGTCAGACTTTGTGACGAGTGTGTCCAAAGCGGTTATAAAGATGCTGCTTGACGACCTCGTAGAAGATGGTGTGCTGAATGATATGGAGAGCGAGTCAATACTTGAAGAGAATGACAGCAGGGCTGATAAGGCGCGCTGTCTCATCGACATTGTTAAGAAAAAAGGAGACCCAGCCAGCAGCAAGATGATCGTTCACCTTAAAAGTAGAGACTCTTCTCTTTACGAAAAGCTTGGTTTGTCTTGCAGTCAGCCTTCTCAGGCAGGTGAGAAACCTTAAAAAATATTTTTATTAAAAAATATAGCGCAGAAGATAATGTAATGATCACACAGGTACAAACAGAATAAAATACATTATTTCAAGCAATAATCTATTTTGTCAGCCTCAGCTCCAGATCCTCGGGAGCCACCAGATTGGTCAGATACACTGATCCACACGACTGAGCAATTCTGGAAGATGAAAATGGATGATAAAAGTGTGAGTCATTCACAAAACTCATGCAAAATATCTCAGTTTGATAATAAGAAATAAAGTGTTTTCTTATTAAAGTTAATGTTGAGACACAAGATGGATTTTTCAACTTTTTTCCCTTTATTTTTGTTTTGCAGATTTACCATGTGACCAAAGACGCCTTTAAAAATCGCTTAGCTCTGCTGATCACTAACATGAAGTTTACTGATGGGAAATTCAATAGAAATGGAGCTGAGAAAGATGAGGAGAACATGAGGAAGCTGCTCTCTGCTCTGGGTTATGAAGTGGTGAAATACACAAATCTCACAGGAAAGGTATTTTTATTAAAAGGGAAAATCTGGGGGAAAATTTTATGTCTGGTTTGTTTTGAGATACAGGAAGTTATGCCTTGACTTTTTTTTTTTGTTATGTTCTTACAGGCAATTAATAAGGCTCTAATTGACTTCTCCAAACATCCAAAACTCAAAGATACAGACAGTGTGTTGGTGGTTATAATGTCTCACGGGAAGCTAGGAGCAGTCCTTGGTGTCGACTGCAAAGAACCCCTTTGTGATAATGAGGAACAAGATGCGTATGAGGTGAACAACATTTACAAGCAGTTGAGCTCAGACAAGTGTCCTGCACTTCTGAACAAACCCAAGATCATCATCATCCAGGCCTGCAGAGGAGGTGATCACCTTCTGTTCTTACAGTTACAAAAAAAAGTCTTAAGTTATAGATTTGCTGGAGTCTTCTTATCTTACAAGTACATTGCATATGTTTCAGAGGAGAGAGGAGGTGTGCTTGTTAGTGACTGTGCAAAGCCAGATCTGGTCTGTGATGACGTGAAACAGCCAAGTCCATCCCCATGTGCTGATGAAGAGGGCTTAGAAGACGACACTCTACGATGTGTACACAAGGAAAAAGACTTCATTTCTCTTCTCTCCTGCACTCCAGGTCAGTGTAGCTAGGCAATTATTAAAACTTAGTGACACACACACAGTGATGACACACATGAAAAAAAAAACTGTATCCAATTTCTGTCTCTGAATTTTCTTTCTGCAGATACTGTGTCATATAGAGACAGGAATCAAGGGTCTATCCTCATACAGTACATTGTTCAGGTTTTCAACACCTTTGCACATCAAGACGACGTCGAGGAGCTCTTTAGAAAAGTAAGCGCTGCAAGTGTAAATTGTTTTATACTTATTGGAAGCAAGTCTCATTACTTCACAACCATGTTGATACTGCTTGTGACATTTATGTGGACAGTTACGATAACCTGTTAGCAGTCGGACGTACCGCCCACGGTACATTGGATGGTTTAGGGGACTAATTGTAAATTTGTAGGACTGCTAAGGGGTTAAAGCAATATTTAAATTACACTTCAATTATCACTGGGAAGTAGTGCATGTACAGTATTAAAAGTAAAATAATAAAAGGTTAAAAAGTTTGCAGAGTATGGCCCAAAAGAAGGCTTTCAAAGCATTTTTCATCTCCTGGAAGTTACGCTTACAGGAATCAATAAGTGCCATATCTGTCACTTATGTTTCTGGAACATGTGGAAAGTTGTATTGCTATAGTCAAGCAGTAATTACTTTGTTCTCGTGTCATTAGTGTGATAATGTTGTACATTATTACTGTGATAATGTCGTACATCATTTTAATCATACAGGTGATGCAACGCTTTGAAGACTTCAGTGTTCAAAACAGGAGACAGATGCCAACAAAAGACAGATGCACACTGACAAGACGCTTCTACTTCTTTCCAGGCCTCTGAGATATTTTTACAGTTATTTAACTCAACTTTGCTGCCATTTCAATTGATGTTTTTAGTGCTCAGAGTTAGGTCATTTTATCATTTCCAAAGAACTACAAAGAGATGCAAACCTAGAAGCAAAAAGATGATATGATCTCACAGTTAGACAAAAATGGCCACAATAAGATGCAAAATAGCTACAAACAGATGGAAAATACAATGCTGATAACAATTTTAAAAGAATGAAACAAAGCTGCCATCTGTCTGTCTCCTTTGTTAAAAAAAAAATCCTGATGACATTTCTAGCTTCATGTGAGACCCATGCACACAAAACACATCAACATGAAATATCCTCTATGTGGCAATTGGAGACGGTTGGATGGACGAACTGGAAGAGACGTCCAGCAGAAACAGGGTCAGAGAGGGACAGACATACTCGCTTCCACAGCATGTCTTTGTCCTATCTTCCTCCCTTCACACCATCTTTGCAGAAGATGGACACCCCTCCCTCAACCTGGTTCTGCTAGGGCTTTCTTCCTGTTATAAGGGAGTTTTTCCTTCCCACTGTCGCTAAACCTCTTGCTTGCATAGGAGTTCATATGATTGTTAGCTTTTCTCTGTTTTCTTTGTATTATTTTTTTCTATTATTCTAGAGTAACATGTAAAGTATCCTGACATAACTGTTGCTGTGTTTTCATGCTATACAAAAATAAAGAAATAAAAATAAAATGCGCTTTGCTTTTATTTTCCACTCACTGCCTTTCTCTCTCTTTGGATTCATACACCACTGCTGCATTTAACTTAAGGAGTTACTACACTCTGTCTCTCTCTCCTACAGAGTGTCTTGCTCTCAATTCTTCTCATCTCTGCCCTTGTCGCCACATCTTCCTGTTAAAAAAGAATCCACTGGTGTTAAGTGCTTGTTCAAAGGGGGTCATCTGACTGTAATTGTGCTTGTTTGTTTGTTTATATCATAGGACCTTTAGCCTACAATATAAATTACCCTGAGGTGACAACTGGTATACTGGTTTAGGGCTTTTGCTATACTGGTCCACTTGATGGTCATAGCTTAGAAGATTTTTTTAAAGGATTTTTTTAAATTTTCAGTCCTTACAATGCCCCAGCAGGTAGGGGCACCAGCCACTGACAAGGAGTGTGGTGGGGGAAATAAGCCCCCACACCTGGGGATGCCCGAGACTTTCAGAAGGAGGTGAAGCCTAAGACCCAGCCTGACACATACAGGTCCTTCTCAAAAAATTAGCATATTGTGATAAAGTTCATTATTTTCTGTAATGTACTGATAAACAGTAGACTTTCATATATTTTAGATTCATTACACACAACTGAAGTAGTTCAAGCCTTTTATTGTTTTAATATTGATGATTTTGGCATACAGCTCATGAAAACCCAAAATTCCTATCTCAAAAAAGTAGCATATTTCATCTGACCAATAAAAGAAAAGTGTTTTTAATACAAAAAAAAAGTAAATCTTCAAATAATTATGTTCAGTTATGCACTCAATACTTGGTCGGGACTCCTTTTGCAGAAATGACTACTTCAATGCGGCGTGGCATGGAGGCAATCAGCCTGTGGCACTGCTGAGGTGTTATGGAGGCCCAGGATGCTTCGATAGTGGCCTTAAGTTCATCCAGAGTGTTGGGTCTTGCGTCTCTCAACTTTCTCTTCACAATATCCCACAGATTCTTTATGGGGTTCAGGTCAGGAGAGTTAGCAGGCCAATTGAGCACAGTAATACCATGGTCAGTAAACCATTTACCAGTGGTTTTGGCACTGCAAGCAGGTGCCAGGTCGTGCTGAAAAATGAAATCTTCATCTCCATAAAGCTTTTCAGCAGATGGAAGCATGAAGTGCTCCAAAATCTCCTGATAGCTAGCTGCATTGACCCTGCCCTTGATAAAACACAGTGGACCAACACCAGCAGCTGACATGGCACCCCAGACCATCACTGACTGTGGATACCGTACTTGACACTGGACTTCAGGCATTTTGGCATTTCCCTCTCCCCAGTCTTCCTCCAGACTCTGGCACCTTGATTTCCGAATGACATGAAAAAGTTGCTTTCATCCGAAAAAAGTACTTTGGACCACTGAGCAACAGTCCAGCGCTGCTTCTCTGTAGCCCAGGTCAGGCGCTTCTGCTGCTGTTTCTGGTTCAAAAGTGGCTTGACCTGGGGAATGTGGAACCTGTAGCCCATTTCCTGCACACGCCTGTACACGGTGGCTCTGGATGTTTCTACTCCAGACTCAACCCACTGCTTCCGCAGGTCCTCCAAGGTCTGGAATCGGTCCTTCTCCACAATCTTCCTCAGGGTCCGGTCACCTCTTCTCATTGTGCAGCGTTTTCTGCCACACTTTTTCCTTCCCACAGACTTCCCACTGAGGTGCCTTGATACAGCACTCTGGGAACAGCCTATTCATTCAGAAATTTCTTTCTGTGTCTTACCCTCTTGCTTGAGGGTGTCAATGATGGCCTTCTGGACAGCAGTCAGGTCGGCAGTCTTACCCATGATTGCGGTTTTGAGTAATGAACCAGGCTGGGAGTTTTTAAAAGCCTCAGGAATCTTTTGCAGGTGTTTAGAGTTAATTCGCTGATTCAGATGATTAGGTTAATAGCTCGTTTAGAGAACCTTTTCATGATATGCTAATTGTTTGAGATAGGAATTTTGGGTTTTCATGAGCTGTATGCCAAAATCATCAATAATGAAATGCTTGAACTACTTCAGTTGTGTGTAATGAATCTAAAATATATGAAAGTCTAATGTTTATCAGTACATTACAGAAAATAATGAACTTTATCACAATATGCTAATTTTTTGAGAAGGACCTGTAGACAGGCATGTTTTCATAGTTTCCCAGAGCAGACACTTCCAAGTAAGGCAGGTGAAGGGAGGGGGATTACTTGCGAATTGAAACTTACTGAACTTGTTTCTCTTCTTCGAGATCTTGCAATGATAGATAAGAATATCTGTGGTCTTGATGTAGTCAACACTACAGGCATAGTTCAGTGTATTGGAAACACTCAGCAAAGGAACGGTAGATGGAAAGAAAATTATTATATGAAATGAAGAGAGATGGCGATTTTTCTCTGGTTATGTTTGGTTTTTTTTGTCATTAACGTATAATATTGGCCATTAAAACATCGTAGAGTTGAAATGTTCAGACAAGTTCAAACATGACTTGACATGTTGTGGTAATTCAAAGGACAGAAATGTTGATACTGTCGGTAAACTGCTTTTATCTCATCTTTCTGTTTTCTTTGACAGCACCCCAAGTTTCACTTTTACTTCCTCTTCCTTATGTCTGCCTTCTTTTTAAAGCAAGCTGTTTTGATCATAATTCAGTATATACAAAATGCATGTAAGTTAGGCGTGAAACTATCTGAAAATAAATTGAAAATAAATTAAGTTATAAATGCAATTTTGGAGAGTTTATATGCCTAACGTGCAGCAGATGAACCTATGAAAGTAAGAAGAAACATTGTCACAAAAGCAGCAGCTTGCCTATGCACTAAAACAGGAAGAAGAGTTTATGAACTCTTGTTCAATACAAGTTAAGGCTTAAATAAAAATGTTAAAAATGCAAAAGCTAGTTGATCCTTGAATTTAAAAACATCTTACATTTCATTAACGGCTCTATAACCACTTATTGGCATCTATTTGTTCCTAGGAAATCAGGCAGTGCTGTCCAAAACAGCACACATGAGCACACATGAAGGTTTGCAAATGGTAACATACAGAAAGCACAAGTAGTGCAGGAGGTGCTCAGGAACATGACTCTTAGAAAATATAAAAGATATGTTCTTTGCAAACAAAGATATTTGTCCTGACTTCATTTCTAAGAGACCACTGCTCAGAAGAAAAAGAAAATATTTTATGTTGCATTTCAAGTTTGACTTGATTACAACCACTTCCATGGAAGTGTGGTTTCCACACAACTATTAATAGATAAAACATCTTGGCAAACACACAATCATTTGTACATGCTGGAGGACACAGGTTGCAAATTTGTGAAGTAAAGTTTATGAAAGATGGCAGGTAAGACAGAAGGTATCATGATCCATGCACTTTCCAAGTGTTAATGTGTGATAGATTTTGATTTTGACATCATTATTTGATCTCATTCTTCCCTCTAGATAAGGAGCTTGCCAGAGTGAGAGGACGGTTTGTTGAAAAGGTATCAAAAGCCCTTCTTAAACAGCTCCTGGATGACCTTTTAGAAGAGGGTTTGCTGAATGATGGAGAGACAGACTCTGTGCTCGAAGACAACAACAACAAAGCAGACATGGCCCGTGCTCTCATCGACATGGTGAAGAGGAAAGGAGATAAAGCTAGCAGGAAGATGATCGAACACCTGGAGAAGAGAGATCCTACACTTTACTCTGAGCTGGGTCTGTCCTGTGGTCAGCCTCCTGGTGAGTTCACCCTGTTTGGAAGAAGGAAATCGTACAGAATAAAGTCTGAACAGTGCTTTTGCTTTTTCCAACTGCAGCGTCTCAGAAGGAGCAAAGCTGGTCGTCCAAACTCATCGCCACAACTGACTCTTTCTGGAGGACAAAGCTGAACGATAAAAATGTTTGTCATGACTGTTCAAACACTTTTAACAAACAAGATTCAAATTTGGAATACTTTGCAAGTTTATACACTTAAATTTTACATTTATAACAGTAAATATTCTGTCTTTACATTTGTATTTTTAGATTTACCCTGTGGCAGAAAAGTCCATCAGCAGTCGAGTGGCCCTGCTAATCACTAATCGAAATTTTTCTGATGAGAGATTAACCCGAAAAGGAGCTGAAGTTGACGAGGAGAACATGGATAAACTTCTCCGATCTCTGCATTATGAAGTGGTCAAATACAAAGATCTCACTGGAAAGGTATTTAAATACTAATCTTTTATTCTTTCCTAGCAAATTACGGCTGAGTGACAAAATAACTGATGCTGGGACTTTTTGTGTTCAATCAGATGATCAATGAGGCTCTGATGAATTTCTCCAAACATCCCAAACTCAAAGAGACAGACAGTGTGTTTGTGGTGATTATGTCTCACGGGAAACGGGGAATTGTCCTCGGTGTCAATCACAGAGAAGAAGTGGAACCAGATGAATTCCCTGTTGACAATATTTACAAGTACTTGGGCTCACAGAAATGCTCAGCACTGCTAAACAAACCAAAGATCATCATCATCCAGGCCTGCAGAGGAGGTGACTTTCAATCATTTCATCTGACCAACATCCACAAATGTCCTCGTAGCTACAGTTTGGACCTGAATTAAAAGCATGCTGCGTGTGTTGCAGAATCTGGTGGCTCCGTGATGGTTAGTGACAGTGCAAAAGTGGTCTGTGATGATGTGTCACAGAGCCGCTTTGATGAAAACAGCATTGTGGATGACTCTACTCGATATGTGCACAAAGAAAAGGACTTCGTTTCACTTCTGTCCAGCACCCCAGGTCAGTTTGTCTGCTGATGGGTTTTATTATGCAAAAGATTTCTGACATTATTAAGATAAGCATCTGAAATTTGCACCAATAACACACAAGCATAGTCTCATTCTGTTTTCACATGATTTCCTGCAGACACTGTTTCATACAGACAGGAAGACCATGGGTCTTTTCTGATCCAGTTCATCAAGGAGGTATTCAACACGTGCTCTCATGAGGACGACATCGACGAGCTCTTCAGAAAAGTAAGTACCTGAAAACTCATTTGGTGATAGTGCTGCAGGCAAACAGATGCAGTCACTGGTTATGTTTTCATCACACAGGTCATGCAACGCTTTGAAGATTTTCCCTCTGAGAAACTGAGACAGATGCCAACCAAAGACAGATGCACTCTAACCAAGCGCTTCTACCTCTTTCCAGGCCGCTGAGACAGGATTGAATTTTGGTCAAAGGAAACACATAATAAGTGCTAATAAGTACATTAATGATTTCATGGATTATCACTTCCTAGTAATAAGGGATTCATACTTATCTGTAGTATAACGAGGGATATGCATTGATTATTGTGAATTATATGTAAAATATTGATTTCTTTGTTTCTGTTTTTACTGCTTTGTGAAAGTGAATGTGAGATTTTGTCAACTTTTAATACGTTTGGAGATTTTAGTAGCTATATGAGTGAGTGTATCATTTACATTCATCAGTTGTTCTTGTCTATAATGTCATCACTGTTACTGTTATGTGTCTAAATAAGTAAATGAGCCATTAGTTACAGTAAATGAATCTTGTATTAACTAAAACATTAACACCAGCGGTCTCCAACCTTTTTTCGGCCACGGACCGGTTTATGCCCGACAATATTTTCATGGACCGGCCTTTAAGGTGTCGCGGATAAATACAACAAAAATAAAGCTAGTACCGGTACCGAAAAAAAGAGAATTTATTCATAACACACGTGAAAAGACCAAAGAAAACCGAGTAAACGATAAAAACAATAACAAAATCACGCTGAAAACCGATAAAAACCCTGAAAACTATACATTTCACACCTGAGCCTCAACTCTCGCGGCCCGGTACCAAACGACTCACCGGTAAAGACATAAAGACCTGGATGGCCGCTAACTTTCTGCTCCTTAATTCTGATAAAACTGAGGTTATTGTACTTGACCCTGAAAAGCTTAGAAATATGGTATCTAACCAGATTCTTACTCTGGATGGCATTACCTTGGCCTCCAGTAACACTGTGAGGAACCTTGGAGTCATTTTTGACCAGGATATGTCCCTCAATGCACATATTAAACAAATATCTAGGACTGCTTTCTTCCATTTGCGCAGCATCTCTAAAATTAGAAATATCCTGTCTCAGAGTGACGCTGAAAAACTAGGCTGGACTACTATAATTCATTATTATCAGAAAGTTCTAAAAAGAACTTTCGGGTGAGAGAAAGATGGCCGCCCCTCCCTGAGCCTGGTTCTGCTGGAGGTTTCTTCCTGTTAAAAGGGAGTTTTTCCTTCCCACTGTCACCAAAGTGCTTGCTCATAGGGGGTCATATGATTGTTGGGTTTTTCTCTGTATGTATTATTGTAGGGTGTAACTTACAATATAAAGCGCCTTGAGGAGACTGTTGTTGTGATTTGGTGGTATATAAATAAAACTTAATTGAATTGAATCATGTGGGTCTATGACCACTGGTCCAACATATAATTATGCTTAATACAAGCATTTTGTTAGTAACTCAGATTTTTATTACTGCAAATTAATTATCTTTAATCTACAGGTGGGCTACAGTAATAGAAATTACAAGTATATAAAGTTACATATTTATAGAAATGTAATTATTTATGTAAAAGTTTTAATAAAATTGCCAATAGGAGGTGGTTAGCTTGTGATATTACTAATTACTGTGACCTAAATTTACTGTTTTTCTATTGAAGATCCAGTGGCAGGTGAGTTACACATTGGTTTAAACACATTGTATAGACTAGAAAGCTTTAGTAATTTATACCTGACAGCCCTTGTTATTTATGTTTTTTGAATAGAGTTTTAAGGAAATACATCACTTTATTTTGTATTTTAATTAGAGTGAAGATTTAAGATTGTGAGGGCCCAGTGGGATTTTCAGTTTTTTAAGCAGGCTGCAGCATTTTTGACTGTGGGAATGAGCATTTTAAAACATCTTAGTATAGTACAGTTACTGACATATTAACACATTCACATTCAAAGAAATCATTAGATGCTTCCTCAACTTGTTCATCTGGGGATGAGCATGTCTTTACTTTTATGATTGGCTAGCTGACAACAGATAGGTCAAAAGATCCTTAACTGGGTGGAGAGAAAGCGTGAGCTCGTGCCTTTAAAAGTTGTGCAGTGTTTTGGCCACATCCTGTATGATGGTGGTTTTCAACCTTGGTCATCTAATGTAGCCCCCACCCTCAAAACCCTGTTAGATGGGTTAAAAATAATTCCCTTCAGCACCACCTTATAAACACCTGCACTGCTTTATCTCTTACGCTCGGTGCATGCACCCTACCTTTGTAGCAAACTGCCTAAATCTTTAATCAGTTGGTAGTGGGTTAATATTTCAGACATGCATCTAAAATGTTTAGTTACCAGTCCATGTAACAGCTATATTCATGAGCCTGTTTTAACCATTTATCAGTTCTCTTTAGCTAACAATTTTATTCATTTATTGAGAATTTCGTGGTTTCAAGTGATGAAATGCTGCAGGAAAAGCATGCTTTGCTTGTTTCACTCGAGCCAGAAGCTAGTAGTGCAAACGTGTTCACTGATGATTTCCTGCATCTCGGTGCATCTTTCTTTACAGGAAGATGACCCTGATGGTGTGAAAGTAGTTTTGCAAATAGGAAGTAGCTTTCTTGGTAAAAAAAAAAAAAAAATTGAAAGGAAATCCACAAACCTGAAACCCTGTAACATTAAGTGTACAACTTTGAAATGCCTTCAAATACTAAAAGAAAGAGTAGGTGAAACTCTGGTCTCTCTCATGCAACATTTAGAGGAATTATGGGTCGCACAAGACTTTTGCTCAATTTAAGGTTTAAAGAAGAATAGAATTAAGAATAACTCAAAGTATTCATTTGGAATCTAAGAAAAAAAAATAAAGTGCATACTTTTAGTGGTATGCAGTGTAAAATATCTGAATGTTCAAACTGACTGTAAAGTTTTATCCATTTAATTTACATTTTCAAAACTGAACTTTAAGTTTTTAAATTTTAATGGTAACGGCAGTCTCTTTAGCAGCTCTTCAATTCTATGCAGAATAGTAAAAGTATAAATAAAAAATGTAAGAATAGCAGTAGCAGGGTGTAATAAAATCAGTCTAAAAGGTAAAGTGGAGAGGGATAAAAGGTAGTGTTCAGAGTGGGTTATTTTCCTTATTATTCAGCTGGTCTTCTTGTGCCAGTCACAGTGTATATCTCTGTCATATCTTGGTCATATGCACTGTGATTCTGATGACACCCTTAGCAGCTTTGTCCACCCTCTGCAGGTCCTTCCAGTCTTGTTCTGTGTGTACCAGGCAGCGCAGCACTATGTCATGAAACAACATACAATACAATACAATGTTGTAACTGATGTAAACCAACTCATGTGAGGTAAAATACAAGCAGATGATGGTAAGTTGGTGTAATGAGTAATTGAGATGACAGTGACAATTACATTTAACTTGTAAATTAGAGCAATCACAGCCACATACAGACATTATGTTAACTGATGATAGTGAATGGCTGGTACTGTTTCTCTGTGTTAAATCTGTTAAATAAAAACTCAATCACTTCACATATTTGATTATCACAACAGGCACAAGACTACAGAGGAAGTAATTGTCATCTGATTTAAATGTGACAAAACGGGAAATTGCAGAGTCCAGCGAGCTAATATAAGGTTAGGTGCCAAAAGGACAGAGCCTGCGCCTAGATAGGAAGTTCATGTCTACAAAAACAACAAGTTCAAACTGGAACAAGTGCCATTAGGAAGTAAGAGGAATTACACTCTTAATTCTGTATGAGAAGTTTAAATGTAGATTTGAGTGCAGGGTAACCAGATCCAAATAAATTTAAACCCGGGCGTAGGACGTGAAGGATAACATGCGACATGTTGCTAATGCTGAGTTGTCTGAAATATGGATTTATTCAGCTTAAAGCAAACACGCAAAAACTTTGCAGGTTTGACAGTTAGCATGTGAAGAACAAATACTACTGCAATTTTCAAATCTTCAGTGTAAAGTTAAGAAATACAATAAAAACAAAAGGAAGCTGAAGTTTCTTCATATGGTCTTTTCTGCCTTCTTGCACTCATTCTCACTTCTTCTTATTTATTGTGTGACTATATGTCATACTTTCCACTTGTGAAACTGAAAGAACTCCACTAACTTTACTCAGGCAGCTTCCCAGTGTTTCATTGGGCAGACATCCCTTTTCTTTCCCAAATTTTCACTGCCTTTGCAGATTTTAAGGCTGTGCAATTTCCCCTGTTGAGTAGAATATATGCTGAAAAGTTACCAAGATGCATCATGACAACCTTCCCTGCTTTCAGTTCAAATGGATAAATAGTCACATGCCAGAGAAGTGTTGATTTATTTAACAAATATTGCCAATAAATGTGTGGGGCATCGTCTCACTATACTGGATAAGGGAAAAATAGATACAATACAGCACAGGCTATAGGTTAAAAGATGGAACTGAGCACTGGACACATAATATAGTTGGCTGTTTGTGGATGGTAATGTTGGCTTTGTTGTTAATGTTACTTTTCTGCACCATCTAGATAAATGCCTGTTCCTTTTGAGTTCTTGAAGTTGTTAGTTCTAATAAAAGAAGACTGCTACAATTTTCAACTTTATTTAGGGAAATGTGACCAGCAGCAGTGATGCAGTTTTGCCATCAGATGTGGTCCTCTGGGCTTCCTTTAAACATACATCTGCGCATAAACCTGGAAGAACTCATATGAAGCTACCCAAGTGTTGCCATTTCAGTTTCAGCTTGTCCATTCAGCAAGCTAAACCTAGACACAGAGTGCTGCTGCCTGACATTTCTTTTAGAAGTGAAGGTGTGTTTTCTATGAAGTGGAAGCATATCCATATTCAGATGTGTCGCAGATCACATCAGAGGCAGTGAAACGTGTAAACAGGTCTGTGCAGGTTCTGTAATGCAGGTAGTCTAAGAAGTTTGGAAAGAAAGCGACTGCACTTTAGATTTTGTGAAGATGTTTCATGGGCTAAACCTTTCAGTTCTAAAATCAAATGGTAGACTGTCCCAGTTGTTAAACCCTATTTGGGTACCTTGAGAGGGTCACTAAGCCAGTATTAATTATGTGGATTGTCACAGTGAAACATCTTCAAGAAACTTAGTCCAGTCATTTTTTTCCAAGCTCTTTGGGTCTAAACAGATCTTTGTCATTTTAATCTTTATTTTGCATTTTCCCCATGCCGCAGAAAACGAGAAATTGCTGAAAGCGGTATTA